ATATTTTTCAATGGGTTTTAGGGGGGTGTACGGATTAGGGTCTTTGGGTTTGGGAACTTGTCTTTTAAAGTTTAGGTGGAGGGATTAGGGCTCAGGGGGTTGGGGTTGAGGTTTAGGGGTTATGGCTTTCGATGCTCTGACTTCGTTTCCATGCCGCCAGAGCTTTTATAGAGATGGCTGAATGAATCTTCTACAAGGTTCCTGAAAATANNTCTGTTACCAACAATCCTAATATCTAGCTGAAATTTTAATTTCTACTGGGGTTCCAAATCCCTTAGAGTCTTTGCTTGAAGCATAGCCTTAGCAGCTCTAGTCTTGTACCATGCATCAATCTTTCATGCTGAGTCTTTAGGCCTTAGTGGTACCCTCTAAACCATAAGCCCCTTGACTCCGAACCCGTAGGGGTTTTAGGTTCAGGCTTGGGCTTCATGGCTTTGGGTCTGGGGCTTGGGGTTTAGGGCAGTGCCTGCATGATTCTCAGTACTATTCAGGGTTCAGGCTGCTTCTTTCTTGCTTGGTTAAGGGTTCAGGGTTCAGGGTTTGGGGGGCTACGGTGGTGTGAAGGGTTTCCGTAAATTCGGTCTGCCTTGTGTGCACCAAGCTACCATGATTCTTGCAAGCAGGGACCTCTAATTTTGGAACGCACCCATGTAATCCAGACCTTATGAACCCCTATTGTACTTTTGATTTTCTTTTCCATTTGATTCTCCCTTACTAGGATAATATCGCTAAACTCTGCATATCCTCAACCCTAAATCTTAAACCCTACCATTCGAAGCCCCGCACATGAATTTTGCCTCGTGGGTTAGCGCATTGAGTTGAGCGGTAGTAAGTGCTATAGCTACTGCATTGATAAGACGGTTTTGGTAACCCCAACACCCCGAATGAGGACCCTATGCGTAGACTATAGCACCATCTAGTTGTGTAAGTTTTGGGGTTGGGGTCACCAGCATCCTCTTGTTACATATTGGGATTTGGGATTTACACTTTAGATTTTGAGATTTGTGCGAGGCGCTCAGGCCTGATGATTTTATTATTCCTGGTCTGGGTCGTGAATGTTTTTGAACCTGCAATTACCCCTACACCGCAAAAGCCGAAAAAAGCGTGGTCCGGTGATGCGAGATCTCCTGCATCCACAGGTTTTGTGTTTAGGGTTGGGGTCCTAGGTATATAGGGATCCTGAGAGACCAGTTGTGGTCCCTTGAAGCACTTTTTGAGGTTTGGGGTGAAGGAAATTTGTGGAATCTAGGGCTCCAGACTGGGGATTCTTGAGTTTGGGTTGTCAAGGGTTTTGGAGCTTAAGGTTAAGGCTTTAGGGTATAGGGTCTAGGCTTCAGGGTTTTGGGGTTCAGATGACTTGTTGTCCTGGTTTCAAGGTCCCAAGTGCAAGACGCAAGGGAGAAGCTGCTGATATGGGCCGTTCACTTCAAGGGCCTGCTACTAGAACCTTCAGCCCTAAACCGTAGATGTCCCTATAGATCCCTAGGATCCCTTTATAAGGACCTTACCCCTGTTTGTACTACAGGCATGTAGAGGAATCGACCGCCAGGTACGCCGCGACAAGGCCAAGGCGGCCACCGAGAAGGAACTCCTTGCAGCATCACGGCTGCATCTTGGAGTAGAAGTGGTTTAGGTGGCTGCTTTTAGTGTCTTAGAGAGTTATTAGCACGGGTACGAGAAAGGTCCACATATGTATGTGGGGACCGTCCTAAAACCCTTGTTTACATTTTATAT